ACACATATATATGGAATCTAGAAAAATGGTACTGATTAACCTAGTGGTAGGGCAGGAATAAAGATGCAGACGTTAAGAATGGATTGAGGACCCAGGGGGAAGGGGAGGCTGGGATGCAGTGAGCGAGTAGCACTGACATACATACACTACCAAATGTAAAATGGATGGCTGGTGCGAAGCTGCTGCACAGCTCATGGAGATCAGCTCGGTGCTTTGTGATGACCTAGAGGGGTGGGATAGGGAGGGTGGGAGGGAGACACAAGAGGGAGGGGATATGGGGATATGTGTGTGCATATAGCTGATTCACTTTGTTATACAGCAGAAACTAACACAACATCGTGAAGCAATTATACTCCAGTAAAGATTTATTAGAAAGACGTATTAAGGGCTTCCCTGGTGGCTCAGTGGTTAAGAATCTGCCTGCCAATGCAGGAGACACGGGCTCGAGCCCTGGTGCGGGAATATCCCACATGCCACAGAGCAGCTAAGCCCGTGCGTCACAACTACTGAGCCTGTGCTCTAGAGCCTGTGAGCCACAACTACTGAGCCCATGTGCCTAAAGCCTGTGCTCTGCAACAAGAGAAGCCACCTAAGTGAGAAGCCCGTGCACCACAACCAAGACCCAACACAGCCAAAAATAAATAAATTAATTTTTAAAAAAAGATGTATTAAAAAAAGGAACTGATAAAGAGTGATTTCCATGTCTATTTCTTGGTGACAAAGTGAGGTACAGAATATTACAGAATGCAACTTTCTGTGAAAAAGGAGAACAGAAGAATATATATATACATATCTGCCAATATTTGCAAAAGAAATACTGAAGGATAAATCAAAAACTAATTTTTAAAAACTAGCTATCGGGACTTCCCTGGTTGGCACAGTGGTTAAGAATCCACCTGCCAATGCAGGGGACACGGCTTCGATCCCTGGTCTGGGAAGATCCCACATGCCGCAGGGCAACTAAGCCCGTGTGCCACAACTACTGAGCCTGCGCCCTAGGGCCCACATGCCACAACTACTGAGTCCGCGTGCTGCAACCACTGAAGCCTGCGCACCTAGAGCCCTTGCTCCACAACAAGAGAAGCCACTGCGATGAGAAGCCTGCGCACCACAATGAATAGCAGCCCCGTTCGCCACAACTAGAGAAAGCCCGTGCACAGCAACGAAGACCCAATGCAGCCAAAAATTTAAAAATAAATAAAAACTAGCTATCAACAATGGAGGGAGAGAAAGTCTGCAGGAGATAGGGAGGGAATGAGACTTCTCAGGGATACACCTGTTACAAAGTTTTCACTTTGAAAACGTAAGTTTTATACATTCAAAAAAGATAATCAAACAGGAAAGCAATTCTTTCAGGAAGTGTAGACAAAGAAACATATCTGCCTGCAATTAAACTGGTGATCAAACCACACAAAGAGGAAAAGACTCATCTCAGGCACCTTCAGAACATGCTGTTCTGACTGCACATCCTCGGTGGAATGTGGGGAAACAGAGCTGGTAGGAAATCTTAAATTCCATACAGTATTCTGCCAACAGTAATACTGGTATTACATTAAAACTTTTGTACACAGAATAGTGTAAATAAGTAAGTAATAAATACTGTTCGGAACCAAGATTTTCAGTGTAAGAGAAAATATTCAAGCATTTAAAAGAAGTAAAAATCCTTAAAGGTTAAATCTGATTGGGCTGGAGAACCACAAGTGATGAGGTTTATAAATGTAATTGGCCACCGGCTCTGAGAGTGTGGACACAGAGCAGCCTCACGAAACGGGAGCAGAAGGACAGCAGGTGAAGAAAAGGTTTTCACTGTCTGTGGTGCACACTCGGCAAAAAACTCTGAGGAAAAGTGAGAAAGTGCTTGTGGTCACAGCTGGGGCGGTGGCTACTCCCAGGGGTGGGGCTGGGGTGGGGGTGCTGGCTGTGAGGCCACCAGGAAGGCAGCAGGGACAGCTGGCAGACCCACTCTCCTGACCTGGGTGGACACCCACCTCACCCCTAGTTGCACCCGCCCGTGTGTTTTATACATTTGTGTCACGTTTAACAACAAGAAGTTTAAATTAAAAATTGCGATTGGAATTATCAGTATGATAATAATCAGAACTGTTGATTTTTCTTTTCAAAAATATGGATTTCCTAGCCCTGTCTACTAAAAAGGTGAACAGTCTGAGCATCACTAAGAGTGAGAGAATCTGAAATCACTGATTTCAGTGAAAGCCCCCTGCCCACCCCCGCATGGAGGATTCTGGCCAGAACAGTTAGACCCAAATCCAGTCATGCCTCTGCAGTGACTTCCAGTGATGGGGAGCCCAGGGTGGGGGACAGCAGAACAAACCCAGAATGGGAGACGTTCTGGGGGACAACCAACTCGGTTTCCACAAAAAGACTGGAGCGTCAGAAAGGACGTAGGGGGTCCTGGCCTGCTCTAAATTAAGAAGCTTAAAAGACCTTATAATCAAACATGCGTTTGGGTCCTAATTTGAACAAATCAACTGTAAAAAGACATTTCTGAGATAATCATAAAAGTATGACTGCAGAATTGGTAGTAGAGCCCATAAAGAACCACCATAAATTTTATAAGATATAAAATGGGACCGTGGTTACGAGAGAAAGGTCCAGGGTGTTTTAGAGACGTGGACTCCAAATATACACAGGGGTGATTTGTATACGGAAATTCGATATACCATTTTCTCAACTTTAAAACGTCTCAAAATTTTCCTCATGTAGCCCATGTTGTGAAATATCACTGCTCTACAAGACCTCCATCAAAAGTCACGGATGTGGGCTTCCCTGGAGGCGCAGTGGTTGAAAGTCCGCCTGCCGATGCAGGGGACACGGCTTTGTGACCAGGTCCGGGAAGATCCCACATGGCCGCTGAGCCTGTGCGTCCGGAGCCTGTGCTACGCAGTGGGAGGGGCTGCGACAGTGGGAGGCCCGCATACCGCAAAAAAAAAAAAAAAAAAAAAAAAAAAAAAGTCACGGATGTGACAATCTGCTTTTGTTACAGATCTAACCACTACCATAACACAGGTTCTACAAGAAAACCATACTACAGGTTCTAAAAAAAATTACTTATGATCAAAGTTTACGCAAAAACTCACACAGTAGGTACAGATTATTTGTACATAAAAATTACTCTCCTACTTCACTCCCTAGGGTACTGGTTTTAGAGGTTAAAAAAAGCCATGCTTATCTCTACATTAGGAGTCAGCAAACTGCAACCAGGGGCCAAATCCAGACCAGCATCTGCTGCTGTCAATAAAGTTTTATTGGGACGTGGCCCACCGTTTGTTAACAGATGGCCCACAGCTCTCTTTGCTGTGGTGGCAGAGTTGAGAAGATGCAGCAGAAACTGCAGGCCTGCAAAGCCTCAGATATTTACTGTCTGGCCCTTGACAGAAAGAGATGGCAGCACTCTGCTCTAAGTCATCTCTGGAAACCCCACTGGGTGACCCAGGTGCCACCAAGGGTGCGGCCAAAGAAAAAGGCTTACAGTTCTAAGCGCTGACACATTAGCTGTTACACACAGCGAGGCGCAGGTGAAGCAAAGCTGCTGGGGAAGCAGGCAGCTGACTTCAAATTCCAGAAACATTCTTATGGCCAAACAGGCCTGTCTTAGAGAGGCACGGAAGACAAATGCCAGAGAGGGTTCAGAGAAAAGTGCAATAAAAATGCAAGGTCATCAGTCTCACGCAAGAAGCTTTTGCTGACACCACAGGTCATACAGCGTATTCATCTGCAATTTCTCCCTTTTAAGCGCTGACACACTCTTCCTCAAGAATGTGAAGAGAAATGCTATTTGCTAACTTGTTTACCGTCTACCTCTCGTCCTAGAACTCAGGCTCTGTGAGGGGAGGAATTTCTCCTGCCCATTATCACACCCCAGGGCCTAGACACGCACTTGGAACACATCAGACACTCAACAGATATTCAATTATGAGCATAAGGGTTCTGTGTTACCACCACTTACCAACTCTGAGACTGTGGACACCACTTACTAGAAAGGACCACTGCCCCCCATCTCCCCCAGCCCAGGCCCCAAGCCGTGAGCAGCAAAGCTGAGATTCTGCGGCTCCCAGTGTTCTCACCTCTGAGAGAACACGCACTACGGCACTTGGACTAAATCCTCCTACTGTACGAAACCTCACACGTTTGGGAGACGGCTAAGGAAAAAAGAGTATTTATAGGGACTTCCCTGGCAATCTGGTGGTTAAGACTTCCAATGCAGGGTTCAATCCCTGGTCAAGGAACTAAGATCCTGCAAGCCATGCAGCACAGCCAAAAGAAAAAAAAAAAAAAGAATATTTACAGTCTCTTTTACATGTAAGTTTTACGTTTCAGGCTTAAGAATCTCTGGTTCAGGGAAAGACAGACGAAGTAGTAACCATTAGCTTAAATTTCTGTTCTAGTTTCAACCCAATAGGGTTGAAAAAACTGAACAGCTTATCCTCTAGACCTTGAAAGGCAGAAAAGACGTGGAAATGAGGGGGTGGGGGAGGGGGCTGGTCTGTGAGGGGTAAAGAGGGAGGGCTGACACCTTCCTGCTTCTCACCAGTGACAAGGACAGGTGCCTGAACACGCGCTCTCCCCGGCAGGACACATTCTGTCCAAGTCTGGAGTCCACCAGTCCAAAAGGGACCAGGGAGCAGGAGGAGGGCGTGCAGACCCAGAGGACATTCCTGC